ATGTACCCACTGAGCATCAAAAAGCTGATATTTTTACAAAATCCCTTGATCTTCTTAGGTTTGAGTTCTTTAGAAAGACCTTAGGTGTAGTGCTCAGTCACTAAGGTGCTACCTATTACTTGAGTGGGTGAGAGTGATTGGTTTTATGTGTACTTGGATGGTATAATCTCATTTTCATTGATTCTTGTCATCTTTGCATTTAGACTTATACGAACACCTTTCATGTTACTCGTAAGATTTCATTCGTCTTTGTTCATAGCTCATTCTGAATGCTTATACTCATTGACTTCATGATCTTATTCTGTACACATCCTTGAGATAAACTATTGTAGGCGTTTCCGCACAAATGATCAAAGTTCTCTATGGATCTCTAATAGTGTCTCTCATCCATTCTCAGAGGAATTGACCGATACTAGCATATCATGTGTGATATTGAGTTTCTAACCCATCTAGCATCATTTTTCATTTCCACGGTTCCTCCTTTAGTTCATTGAAGTCCATGTATTAGGAAAAGGCTTCCTCAAAGGCACCAACCAGGCCATCCTTATTGATTTCATGCTTCTCTGGTTTGGTCTCTATACTCTTGACCAATGAGTGCCCACATGCAAGAAAAGTCAAAAAAAAAAAAAAAAAGGAACTCATTGATTGAGGGGGAGCCTCCCTTTTACTCAACAGATAACCCTTGATTTCTAATGGTTTGACTTTTCTCAGTAATGTTTAGTTACTCTTGCCAGAGGTCCAACCATCCGATCACTACGAGTATTAACTCTAGCTCTGTGGCCTCGCAAGGATTGCACACACACATATTCATTATGTGAGATCTCATGTTTGTCTATGAGTTGTGTATTCTCATGTAGCTTATTCCTATTGATCAATTTTTATCTGATTTGCTCATGATATTGTGTTTTATATTGTCAAATTGTGAGTTAGCAGCTTCATGATTTGTGGATTATCTCATCTTAGTGTCACATTCTTGCTATTGTGTTCACCTCTGTTTGTTTTAGGTCCCACTTGACAGTGTGAGTTGGTTTTTAATCTGCTCAGAAGGGTGCATTTTGCATTGTTGTTTTTTTTGACCCCGCTCGAGCAGAAATGTCACTCTTCCAACACTTTTGTAGAGGCGACAAACTTCTGAGAGAGTGTTTTTGGAGCTTGAGCGCATGATTCTTTGCTTGAGTGTAGCCACGAGTGTCCAGGCTCTCGCTTGAGCGTTTAAACCCTTGCTTGAGCGGACTGGTTTGCTTTAAAAACCCGGCCCTTGACTCTTCACTTCATTTTTTCCCCCAAATTCCATCTTTCTCTCTCGTAGGGTTCCTTTTGGCGACTTCGTTTTCATCCCTCCTTGGTTTTGGATTGGTGTGCTCATCTCAGTCCTCTATTTCCTGTGCTCCATCGTCGTCTCAGTCATATCCTTTTCTAAACGTAAGAAGTCAACTGCCACTCGCCCCACTTATAACACTGACCGGTTTCCATCCGCCGAAAAGCCAAGTCATTTAGAGAGTCTTACACAACTAGGATTGTCCATCTTAAGCGCAATGTCCAGCCAAACACCTTTGAGTTTATCCCCATTCAATCTTTGTTTGATCCTTTGGGGGGAGATTTGGTCCTTTCTTTCTTTGGCCATCAAAACCTTGACTGGGTCCAGGAATTTTATTGTAATATTGAGGGGATTGATGATATTGGCCCTACCTTTAAGACTTGGGTCAGGTCTAAGTCCATCATTATTACACCTGACCTTATTCGTGAGCTATTAGGTATTGGCCAAGTCTTTCCTTTTCACTATCCTTTCCCTATCCGACCCACCTGTGATTTCAAGGAGGTGGGCACTGCTGTGTGTGGTATGCCCCGTTCTTAGATCAAGGGTGCCTTGATCAAACACCATGAGCTTCTTCCCCAGTTTCATTTGCTTAACCTCATTGTTTGTGCCAACTTTATAGTCACCAGTCGTAGCTCCGAAATCAATCAAGAACAAGGCTTTGTTCTCTTTTGCATTGCTTACCATCGTTCTATCAACCTTGCCACCCTTATTATTCAAAAAATAGTAGCCGCTTTTGAGCGCAACAACTAAGGTCTTTCCTATGGTTGCTTTATCAACCGTCTTCTCACCAAATTTGAGGTTCCTTTTTTTGATGAGGATGAATTTTCTTTTCCTACTCGCCCATTCACGAAAAATACTATCTCTCAAAGTCAGTCTCATGTCAAGGGGGTTCCTTCAGGAGTGGGTAGTTCTGGTGCAGGTGCAGGAGCTAGTCCTTTGGCCGAGGAGGCCGAGTATGACGCTACTGCTGCAGGTGAGGGGGAGCAGCTTCTTTTGGTTCGTTCTATCAGAGGCCAGCTACGTCAGTTTGAGTAGACCATGGTCTTCCGTTTTGATTGCTTGGAGGACCGCATGGATATCTTTGATGCTCAGCTTACTGATCTTGAGACCTCCACTGATGCCTCGCTTAGTTCTTTGGAGGCTTCTTCCAGTCGCATTGAAGAGTCTGTTGCTCAGTCTTCTCAGCATCTTGCTCAGCTTGTATTCTTGTTTCATATGTAGCAGCCTCCACCCCCGCAAGCTCAGTGATGCCAGCTCAATGATGCTTGTTTCGTGTTTTTGGGCCAGCATATTTCTTTGCACAGTTTTGTTTTCTTGTTTCTTTTTATGTTTTATTGTGTTTGTCTCCCGGACAAAAAAGGGGAGCAGATATTTTGATTTTTTGGCTTTGTAGTTATTTAGGATTTGTAGGACTGTACATGCTTATTTGGTTGGGATTTGTTATTGGGAGGGATTTGTTGGACTTTTGGCATAGATAGATTTGGCTATCTATATTTGCTTCTTTCTCTCATATTCATTTTGCTTATCTCTTTATGTTTATCTTATTTGGTTCCACAGTTTTCGTTTGAATGGTATTTTTCACAAGTGGATTGTCCAAAATGCTTATAAGTGTTTCTCAATCTAATCAGTTTTAGTGGTTAGGCTATTTCGTAGTTTTTTTGATTGTCGTTGTTAAGTGTGTCTAGTTCGTGTGTTTTGTTAGGAAAAATTGTTAGAAAGTTTTGTCCGGGAATTGACAAAATGGGAGATTGTTAGGTCCTTGCTTATTCCCAATTCCGCGAACAAGCTTGAGTTAATCATGTTGTAATTTTCCTTCTATTTCTTATCTTCTCGATCGAGTGGGAAACGTGGCACTTGAACGGAGTTTCCACTATCGCAGTACTTTCGCTTGTCTGCAAAAAATACTGTGTGGTGTGATTTTACACTCGAGCGTAAGATCCTACGCTCAAGTGTGAATCCTAGTTTGGAACATGCGTTTTTGCATCCCCACTTGAGTGTCCATTCCTACATTCAAGTGGACTTCACGATTTCAGCAACTATAACACTGCAGGTTGCTCCAAATCTAGGGCACGACTTCCAGATCTTTTTTGAGGGTTTTTAGCGTTTTCTTTTGGGGCTATTTTGTTAGGTTTCTTTGATGTTTGATTGAGTATTCAACTCATGGTTTGATGAGCATACATCAAAGAGTTTGATTGTTCATCTTCAAGAGTGTTCTTTTTCTTCGGTGGAATCCAGAGATTTAAGCATGGAGAATTCGAAGGAGTTCGAAGCTATGCGCAGTTGTTGGTGCGACATGGATTTTGTAGATTTAACATTAAGCTGATCAATTTCGAGACGAAGGCAGTGGTGAAAGAGATACAGATTGTTGAAGACAAATTGATTGTGTTTGGGTAATTTATTTTGGTAATTTTATATTCTTTCTTACTTTCATAATGGATTGATTTGTGGCGTTTCATCCGTGGTTTTCTAATCACAATTGGAGGTGCTCCAATTGTAATTTTTTCATGTAAAAATTGTTTGTGTCAATTTATTATTTTTGAAGCGATAGTCTAAATCACTTTTGTATGTGCTAGATGATTTAGATTGTTATTTTTAATTGTTTGGAAATTAGTACAATAAAATCTTGACGTAGTCATGAATTACTTAGTTTTTTCAAGGGGGATAGATATACTTAGAACTGTTTAAAAAATTTACTTACTTTAAACTCTCAGTCAAACATATCAAAACCTTTTATGTATACTTTTGGTTCATGAAATATATAGAAAAAACCATATTTGTGAGTGATGAAATCATAATTAAGAAGACAATATTGTCTTAAATCATATTGTTGAATAACTTCATGACAAAATTGGTTTTTGGAGGTATTATATTTTTTCATAACTGAAATTGAATTTGAATTAGAAGGAAGAACCGTTGCCACATTGATTTCAATGAAAAGCCAAGGATGAACCGTTGCTTCCATTGACCAAAACACAAATCTATCTATCTACTACTATAAAAATTCTGAATGCTTAGGTTGGATACAAACACAAATATGCTACTACTTTAAAATTTCTAAACAAGCTAGATTGTTTACATTTATGAAAAATCACGTGCAATGCACGTGCACCATCACTAGGATAACCCAAACATAGGAAGAAAATATAGAGAAAAAATTAGTTAAAATTATAGAGAAATAATTCATTATTTAGAAAATGTATTCAATATGTCAATGAAAGAACATTTGCAACAATACAAATCCTCTCAAAATCTCCATTTTGACACTCAAATTAATGAGATCAAACTTCCCTAACTTCATTGTAGTACTAGTGTATCCCCACCATGGCCTCCTGCCCTCACAAGTCTAGTTCCGCTACTTAAGTAACTGAGCTTAGTCATTTTGACTTGAACTTGTCTTCTTTTTATTTCATCCTTATATACTTCCTGCCAAAAGTATCTCCATTTACAAAAGGACTGATGTTTGGTCATTTTTTATTTTTTTATTTTATGACAACACCTTTTGCATTCGTCTCGGGACAAACTTGTTCTCATCATTCTTTACTCCCATAGAGAAATAGTTCTTGCTCCCAATGTTTAAGTTACTAAATCTATTATATAGATTATGAAGTGAATTAACTACTGTAGCATAAACTCTAAGAAGGTTTCTAATAAAGAGTTAAAAATGGTACCTCCACACAACATGGGAAACAAAAAGAAAGGAGCTTAATCCCAATCACTTGGCACCCATTTTTAATAACTTACCATTTGATAAAGTGAGGCTACATGTTTGAAGTCCAACATGAAATGAATATTTATTATACAACAGAATAACATAACAAATGACAAGAAATTCAGAAATCGAAGTGCGTCAGCTGTAATTCGATCCGGCTACCAAAAGGCAATATTAACCAAGCAATTTCTTTTTATGTGTTCTTTGCTAGGGTTTCCCTGATCAATTCTTTTGGTGCTGCAGTAGTGAAATGAACCAAAGGTCATGAAAAAGCAGAAGAATAGGGGCTAAAGTCTATAAAGCATGAAACAAAACAAAATATATTAAAACAAAGAATGTTGAAATGGGATCATCTTACCGGGCATTCCAGTGAACCTTTCAAACTGTACAAATGCTTGATTTATGAACATCTCTGTTCCAAACACAACTTTGGCTCCTGAATCTTGTGCTTCTTGCAAGAGTCTGGTCCATTTCGGGGTGTAAATGGCATCAAAAACCAGGGAATAGCGGTTCAAAGCTTTCTGCCAAAAAATAAAAAGCAAGATCAGCTTATTTATTAAATTGTGATGGACAGTCAATGTTGTGAATGCTAACAAATTTGATGCACTTAATAATACAATGAAATCTTGTAGACAATATATATTGCAAATACTTTAAATGCTTTGTATTGTATTAGTAACCATCAAGGTTTCTGAATTAGGCTCAGTTTGGATGGATGGATAGATTTCAAATCAAGAGACTTAAGGTTGAATTTTATAAAAATATAGGAGATTAAACTATTATGGAATGAGAAACGAGAAGGATGATAATATAGCTATAGAAGATAAAAGTATTTTATTAGGATCCTTGTAGAATTAGAACTCATAGCATGAAATATCTCAAATAGCTACTTTTACATTGTTATTTCAAATCCATCATGACAAAGCTCTCAAATTCAATCTTGAAAATCAATATCTAATTATCAAATTCAATTTGAGGTATTCTCCTGAAAATGAGTAGTACCAAATCCTTTCATCTGAAATCTATAAATCCAAACACAACTTCAATGTTTTTGCAGACCTTTGCGTTTAATTGATTGTGGTGCATCTAAATAAGAAAAGAGGAGGCAAACCTTAGAAATGGGAGTTGCATCAGTTTTTGGTTTCATTCCAACAGAAGTAGTGTTTGCAAGAATCATCCCGTCTTCTGGATGGAAATCATCTAATTCAGCAAGAGTAATAGCTTCTCCATCAACTTTACTGGCAAGTTCTTTAGCTTTTTCTGACATTCAAAAGAAAACACAAATTCTCACTAAGTCAGTGAGCAGAAAAAAATCCAATGTCCATCTGAACAAGACTTCCAAAAAGAGCAAAGAAAAATAGAAAGAAGATTTTTTTTAGTCCCAAAATTAATTATTGTACAGAAGAATTACATAAAAATAGGCAGTTACTGTTTTGAAATAGCAGTTTAACATGCTTATCAAGTAAATTTATTTTTTTTCATAGATCAAGTGAATTTCTAAATTGGAAAAATACATATATTTTTTTTTTATTTTATGTTGTGAACCTCCGTTTCAAAATCATGTCCTGAGATATATTTTCTATTTTCTGAACTCCATTTTTAGCAGTTCCAAACAATCAAAGAAAAGAAACTGTTCGAGAAGGGGCTGTTTTGTTATTCAATTTTTACAGCTGTGTTTTTATTAATGTTGTGGGGCCAAGAAATCTGATCACTCATAAGTCAGTACGTAGGTGGAGTAGAGGATAACTGGTTTGCAATAACAATCCTTTTCAATTGAGACATAGCTGTCAAATTTTTTGACAATGATGATATCAATGATGACAGATTATAATATTCTAATTTGTACCATATGTGCGATTGGCAACTACAACTCTTGCACCCTTCTCTTTTCCACCATAAGCAAGTGCCTTTCCAGCCCCACCAGCTCCAATGACAACAAAGAGTTTGCTAGCTAGAGGTGAAACAGCTCCGTTGCTAGAACCATTTGAGCCTGCAAAATAAAATTTTGACTTAAAATTTTCTATAATGAAAACAAAGAAGTCTAAATTGAATTCGGATAGCTCAAATAGCATATCAGTAACCTCCTAGTGCTTCCTCAATAGCCCCAATAGCTCCAAGATAGTCAACATTATAGCCAATTAACTTGCCATCGCTTGGTTTCCTGACCATGCAACTAATAGCTCCTATTGCCTGTAAGAATTTAATCATGAAATGACTTTTTATGCGTGACATTGAATGATGACCTTTCCAGTTGAAGTTGATGTTAAGTGTATATTGGTACTTTGTCAAAAACGCTGCAAAGGGATTTTGAAATACCTTGGCTATTGGATCAACTTCATCACAGCATTTAAGTCCAGCCTCCTTGTGTGGAATTGTATAGCTGCATTTGAAAACAATACACATTTACATAAATATATATATACCAAACCAAACGAAGCCTTAAGTCCCATCAAATGGGGTCGGCTACATAAATATATATATATATATATTTTAAATTTATTTGTGGAATAATGACTATGCATTTTAGAATAATTTATTTATTGAGTAGGAAGATTCAATATTTCATTTCTGAAGAGAAGAATACTACTTTCAGTGCACTCACATTTACATAAATATATATATATATATTTTAAATTTATTTGTGGAATAATGACTATGCATTTTAGAATAATTTATTTATTGAGTAGGAAGATTCAATATTTCATTTCTGAAGAGAAGAATACTACTTTCAGTGCACTGACTTCAGAAATAGTATTCATACAAACTAGGGTCTGTGTATGTTTATAATTCCCAAGAGATCCATACCTGTAACCAACAAAATCAGGAGATGAATAGGTGTTGAAAAAGTTTGCGACACTATCAACCAGCAAAGGTAAATAGATTCCATTAAAACCAGCTGATCTAAATGCTGTATTGTATAGATGAGGACTTTTGCTGTGGCCAATAGGATTTCCAATAACCCCATGTACTTTGGTATCGGGCCCTATCTGTCTGAAATTGTACAACTCCAACAAATCTTTTAAAGTTGGCTGCCCAGGAGCGGACACGATTCCTGATTCAAGTGCACCGAAAGTGAGAAACCCTCCAAATTTGGCACAAAGTATGCGAGACATCAGGCCCCTTTCACCCATAACAATTCCTATTGTTGGTACCTGCAATGTCAGTTGAAGTGATTCACATACTGTCAAAACTTTTACAATTACAATGAAGGTCGGTTATGCCTGATGAAAGATAGGAATAACAACATGATCTTTACTAAAATTTATGAAGGCTCTGTTTTGAGTAAATTTTCATGCCATTTCTATGCTGTCAAAATGTGAACGGCGTGACTGTTTTATAATGTGAGACATGAAGCAGAATGAAAATTAGTCAGCCTGTTTGGTTCCGCTTTTTGGAATTCAATTTTTAGAAAAATTTAGACTATGGTTATCCAAAAAATCAAAAAATAAAAAATAAAAAATCCCAAACTCAATTTTCCGGATGCACCTTGGAAATAGAAATATTCTGTCTTCTTTATTGCTCAATGGTTGGTTGTTGTACCGTTAGACCAAAAATCCAAAGCATCCCACTGAGTTGTTGTATTTTGGAGGGAATTTTGAATTGTAGTTCCAAAATTCAGAAAACTGGAACAAGCAAACAATGATCCATTTTCTTAAAACACTTTTCAGAACAAAATTTTGAAAATCAATTCAGAAAAGTGAAACCAAATAGGTTGAATTATTTTATCTAATTTGTTAAGTCATTTGGATTATAATCTAATGTGGTTTAGGATATCTTTTGTTAAAACTCACAAGTAAGCCAATTTTGATTTTTATGATGCTACACACATTTTGCCATTGTCAATAACATTTTCACATCATGACTTCATGAGAACTTATTTATTGGTTTTGTCCTCATTTGAAGGCCGCTGTTTTAATTTTCAAATCTTTCAATCAACCCCAAAAGTAGTTTTTGTTTTCTTATTATTGTGATCTATAGTTCTAATGAGCTTTGCAACAAGCATATTCTTTTTACACCTTCAAATTTTTCCTAAATTAGTGTCATTTATTTAGTTATTTTAAAGTATGTTTGAGCAATTGGAGTTTTGATCATTCAAGAATTATTTTATTTTTTATTTTTTATTCCAGGAAGAAAGCATATATCAATTGCTTAAACCTGGAGTTCAGACGGAATTACCATGACGTATAAATACTTACTTGAGAATGTGCAAGTAATTGAAAGATACGAGCCGAATCAGTGATGTCTTGGGCAGTTGTTGCAATCTTCACTATGTCAGCTCCTGTAGCCTGTATTCTTGCCGCAAGATTGCCAATTTCCTCAGCAGATGGAGTATTTTCATAGTTGTGAGAAGAAACAATGATTTTGACCTTTTCAGGCTTCTTGCCTTGAATCAATTTGTAGAACTCATCAGCCACCTTCAAGACCCAAAATTGTTAGTGACCTAGAAAGTTGTTCATTGGAACTTCAATAGCAAATCTGAAATCAGAATGACTATTGAACATCATTAACAGAAACTGGCGTAAAGCCGGCTTAGGGACATCATCTGTTCAACTATAAACAAGATTAAAGTATTTTTGTCAGTTTGGTGAGTTTCTTACACACACTTTGAATTTTAGTGTCCGATGGGGTGCTTTAGGAATGTATTTCTTGACAAATAACAATTTTCAGACGTCTGGAATTTTCCTAGATATAGTATTCATGTTCTTCCTTTCAAATAAAAATCCAGGGTAAATGAATATCATAGAAGCCATTCTCTTGGATATCATAGGAAGATGGACTGTTGATCACCAATCGTTTTTCCAGCTTTTTACCAACAAATTAATGAATCATATTCTAATATATAGAAGTCTCTCGTTTGTTTCCTTTTTACTTTCTGGGATATAAAGATGATGAGGACTTTATGGGTTAAGTGAATTCAGGTGAAATGTATCACTCGGGTTATAACTGAGTTAAAGTTAGTGACTATGAAGTACCGACTCTTCAAAGCAAGTATTGTAGCTGTGTCGGACATGAGGACATAGCAGGGGACACTATGTTATTTAATTAATTTATTACTTCAAGGGATACACTGCAGACACTTCGGGAACACATTAGGGATGTGTGAACTTGTTTTTTCCTCCATTATCTTAGTACTTTTGATAAATGTTGAATGTTAATATTTTTTTCTTAGATTTAAATACTTAATAGATCATTCATAAAAAAAAGATATAAATTGTAAGTGTTAATTTAATTTTTTTTCTTCTAAATATAGAATTAGAGTTAATTTTTGTTAATATTAATTGTTTATGGATGTAACATTAATCTAGATAGCAAATAAAAATATATATTTTGTTGTCGTGTTCCCATCCTGTCCATGTCTGTGTCCGTGTATCGGTGCTTCTTAGGTTAGTGATGATCTTCATTGTGGGTACTTGTCAATGGCATTTATGGTTCGGCCATCAATCTTTAAGCTTCTTGAATCTTTTAGTCACTTTGCTCCTGTTTGTCATCAGATAGATCTATATTCTATTATGTAAAATGTTTTTTTTTTTTTTTTTAAAAAAAAGAAGGATTTTTCACATTTAAGCATCAAATCAATAAACTACTTGAAGAAATGGTTAGGAGAGGGAAACCTTAAGCTCAATATCAATATAATCAGCACCCAATTCCACGGCCTGACGCAATGCAGCCTGTCGCCTTGTTTCATCTCCATCAAACTGACCACCTTCCCATGTTGGTCTGAAAAGAAAGAAAATTGCAAAACAAAATGAGATATTAAGTGCAGAAGATACATAATTCCAATTTACCTGTCAGATGAGACAAAAGAAAAAGTAAAAATATCTTCTTCACTATTTTCAGAAACATATGAAAAATTCATGGACAATATTGATTAGTCAAGATATCTTTAAGTAACTATTGATTCTCACAGACAAAACAATTGAGATTGAGATATTTTACATCATCAAATATGACAGTATCAATGTATAAAGTTTATGTGACAAAGCAGTTGATGGGATTTCACATGGAAAAATAATTTTCAACCACACTACTACAAACCATAAATTAGTTCAGTGGTTTAACTTTAATCCGTGATCTATGAATAGGAGATGTTGTTAGCGTCGAGCCGATAGTAAGGTAATTTTCTTTTAGTATTAGAGTGAGGAAGGATATGAGCGTAATAGGGTGATTTTATCTTAGTATTGGAGGGTAATAAGTTAATTGTTGATTTTTTAAGAGACAAACTATGAAAGTAGGAAATCTGTAATTTCTCAGATCAGAGTAGGGAATTTGAATATGTCAGAAACATTATTTGTAATCAATAATTTCAGTAAAGATAATGGATCTGTTTATAAATAATCAATAATTAGCAATTTTGCTAGGTGATTAATAGCCAAGAAATACTAATTGGCATGCTTAACGCTGTGTTTGGTTGGAGGATTGGAGGAGGGATTTGGAAAGGGAAAGGGAAAAGTAGGTGAAATGTGAGTAAAATATACCTACATTTCACCTAATTTCACACACCTTTTCCCTTTTTCTTTCCAAATCACTCCTCAAATCCCTCAACCAAACACAGTATGAGTGTCCCCCTTTAATCTGAATGGTTCAATTCGCATTTTATGTAGTTTTAGAATGTACAGATCTGTCATCTTAGGCACCATTTGTGAAGAGTGGCCACTAAACAATTGAGAGTCAGATTTTTTTTTTTTAATTTTTTTAAAAAGAAACTGGTGTAGGAAAGGTTTTGGTAAGGTCTCATTTTTCTAAACAACAATGATAGAGAGCTCTAATTTTGGAGCTTTAAAGAGTACTCTAATGATATGACAAGAGAAAAAAATAAAAAATAAAATAAAAACACAGGCGCACACATCACGTCATACGTGAACCCCACTCCTTACCACATCACTGGAGCTCTCTTTAGAGCTCCAAAATTAGAACTCTCAATCTTTATTTTTTTCTAAATAGCTTTAGTGGAAGGTAACAGACCTTCACAAAAAAAATATTCTCCCAATTGCACCATAATGTAGGGTCTTAGGGACTCATCACGGGATCCACCTTGACAAACATTCATCCTCTGAGCATATCATCAAAGGAAAAAACCAAACTAATTCGATGATCATAGCCACATGATCAAATCATATTATCTTCAAAATAAATAGATGATCAATTCTCAAAGTCATACTCGTAGTCTGGTATTTTCAATATAAATGTGATATGATCATGTGGCTACGATTATCTAATCAACTTTATGTTTTTCCGTGTTCAGAAGCCTTATAAGATGAACAGTTTGATTATCAAGATGGATGTTGTGGTAGGCCCACCGAGGCCTAATAATACGGTCAAATTATTTGACTCAATTGGATACAAGCCTCCTCCTTATAAATGAGTCCATATGAATTCAAGAGTTGTTCAAAAGCCCCATAGTATTTTAGGAAGTAGAATTCAAGATTCCAAAAACCGCTGATTTAAATTAAATTCTACATAGATCTTTGATGATTACTAATTGTTAACAGGTATTTTAATATTATAATGATCTTCCGAGCTCCAAGATAAGTCATTGCCTAGTCTTTGCTTGCCTTATCCATCCAAGTCTTTGCTAGCCTTATCTATCCAGGTCTTCTCCAAGTCTTTGCTAGACTTATCCATCTAAGTCTTCTCCAAGTCTTCCCATTCCTATCTATTCCAAGACTTCCAAGGTAAGCCATCCAAGGTCTTGGTCAAGTCCACCAATTCTTATCCATCAAGAACCTTGCTTATTAAGTTTTCTTTTCTATATAGTTTGAACATATGTCATATCTTAAATACATACGAGAGAAGAAGTTTTGGTTGTGTTGTTATGTCTTGAGTGAGATTATTAGGCAAATAAAAAGGGTGTGTGTGATAAAGCTTTGGGTTCAACCAATTGTGCAGTATTGGTGAACTATACGACTTAGTCGGGCTGTTGTATCCTAGGGGAGACAAGTCAAGGTTTTTTTCTGCTACACCGGTGTGAGGCTTTGCCTAACCGCAGAGAGCTTGAATCTCCATAAAGAGAGCGAATTTCCCGCGCCTCAGCCCGTTATTGTAACTTTTATTATTTGTATTTTCTGGTGTTTTATTTGTAATTATCACCAACAATTTTAAGCAGATTCAAATAGCAAAAGTTCATGGAGCCAGTACTGGAGAAGTCCAACGAGAATACTGGCGATCTCAACAAGCCCTTCCAGTTCAAGGGAGCTCATTTCAAGAGATGGAAATGCAAGGTGCTTTTCTACCTCAGTCTCCTCAAGGTGGCTTATATCCTGACCGAGAAAAATCCGAACAAAGTCCCCACTGGAGAGATGACTGACGAGGAGTATGCTGCTCATCTTGAAAAACTCAAAAAATACAATACAGATGAGTATAAATGTCGATACTATCTTTTGAATTGTCTTTTAGATCAATTTTATGATTATTATAATACTACTTACACCACTGCTAAGAAAATTTAGAAAGCCTTGTAGAACAAATATGACACTGAAGAGGCAGGCGCTAAAAAATATGCTGCAAGCCGTTTTTTCCGCTATCAGATGATAGATGGAAAATCAGTGGTGGAGCAAGTTCAAGATTTTTAGATGTTAGTAGCTGAAGTTAGATCTGAAGGCATCAAAATTGGAGACAATCTTGTTGTAACAGGTATTGTTGACAAACTTCCGTCATCTTGGAGGGAGTTCCAGAAGTCAATGCGTCACAAGCAAAAAGAGACGTCCTTGGAGACTCTAATCACACGGATTCGGGGGGAGGAAGAAGCACGAGGACAAGATGCGCTTATGACACAAGAGCATTCCACTGCAAAGGTAAATTTAACTTCTGAAAATACTTTACCTAAATGTCGATTTCATAAAAATAGTCACTTGAAGCCAGTTAAGAAAATTTGGAAAAATACTAGAAGGCCACAAAATAAAAATTACCCGAGGCAAAAGAAATGGAACCAAGAACCCCCTTCACAAGATCTGACAAATGTGACATGTTTTGTGTGTGGCAAAAGTGGGTATATTGCTCGAACTTGCAAATTTCGGAAACAACAGTCTCGACCACAGGCTAATGTTACCGAGAAACCGTTTGGGGCTATGATCACAGATATTTTTATAGTTCAATCTGTGGAAGGGTGGTGGGCAGAATCTGGTGCCAATAGGCATGTCTGCTATGATAAAGATTGGTTCAAATTTTCACTCCTTTTAATGAGGAGAGGACTGTTATGCTTAGTGACTCCAGTTTAACCAAGGTGCTCGGGTGTGGGGATATTGAGCTGAATTTTACCTCTGAACGTGTGCTTGTTTTAAAAGATGTGTTGTACACACCGTCTATGAGAAAAAAATTGATATCGAGTTATTTGCTCAACAAAGCTGGTTTCAAGCAGACTATTGAATCTGACCAATATGTAATTACTAAAAAAGGCATATTTGTGGGGAAAGGTTATGCCTGTGATGGAATGTTTAAATTAAATGTTGAGAATAAGAAAGCACATGTTTCTGTTTACATGCTGTCTTCTATGAATTTTTGGCATGCTCGTCTATGTCATATTAATAGTCGATATGTGGGAGTCATGAGTAGTTTAGGATTATAAGTTTGAGAAATGTGAAGTTTGTAGTCAAGCAAAAATAACTAAAATGCCTCATAAAAGTGTGGTAAGAAATACTGAATTGTTAGAATTATAATTCACACTGATTTATGTGAATTTGGAGGAATTTTAACATGTGGTGGAAATAGATATTTTATCACTTTTATTGATGATTTTTCAAAATACACTTATGTATACTTGTTGAAAAATAAAAGTGATGCTTTTAAAAAATTTAAAGAATTCCTTCTTGAAGTTGAAAATCAATTCGGTAAAAAGATTAAAAGATATAGAAGTGATAGAGGCCGGGAGTATGAATCTTTTGGATTCAACTTGTTTGCTCAGTTTTTGGGAATAATCCATAAAACTACTCCACCATATTCACCTGCATCAAATGGTGTAGCAGAAAGAAAAAATAGAACTTTAACTGATTTAACAAATGCTATGCTAATTGAAGCAGGCGCTCCTTCAAATTTATGGGGAGAAGTAATTTTAACTCCATGTTATGTCATGAATAGAGTGCCACATAAAAAAAATAAAAGTTACACCTTTTGAGTTGTGGAAAGGGCATAAGCCAAATTTGAGATATTTGAAGGTTTGGGGTTGTCTAGCTTTTGTTAGACTGGTGGACCCTAAAAGACCTAAATTAGGTGTGAAAGCTGCCACTTGTACTTTTCTTGGATATACAACAAATAGTACAGCCTATAGATTTTTTGATATTGAAAACAAAATAATTTTTGAATCAGGTGATGTAATTTTTCATGAAGAAAAATTTCCTTTTAAATCTAAAAATGGTGGGAGTCAAAATTATCAAGAAAATATTTTATCTGAAACCAGCTCCTCTACTCCTCTTTTACAATACCAAGATACTGTAGTTTTTGAACCAAGAAGGAGTAAAAGAGCCAGATTAGAAAAAGATTTTGGCCCTGATTATCATGTTTTTAATGTGGAGGAAACTCCATTAACTTTACAAGAAGCTTTGGCATCTCCCGACTCTATTTTTTAGAACGAGGCTGTAAATGATGAGATGGAATCATTATTATCCAATAAAACTTGGGTATTAGTAGATTTACCACCAGGTTGTAAAACTATTGGCTGTAAATGGGTTTTGAGAAAAAAAACTTAAACCGGATGGAACTATTGATAAATATAAAGTAAGGCTTGT